TGACTACACAATGCCACAGCTTATAGAAGATAAAATATTAAAAGGTCTTTATGCTTTTTCCTTTGAGTTGCTGTCCCAGGGACCTAAGAATGTGCAGCCATTGGCAGTTAATGGAAATTTTTCATCACAAATAAATACTCCAATTATTCTAACGTGGAGGTGAAAATCACTTTCCCTCCTTGATGAAGACTGCCATTTGTTTCTATTGACTGAGTGGTGCATTGCTGTGCTTCTAAAAGCAGGAGAAAAAAAGAACCTGCGGACTGATATCTTAGTGACAAAGTAGGAGTTCTCACTGGCCGCTGGATTCTGATAAGCTGATATTCTCTCAGGCACACCAGCATTTAATTCTGCACAGATGTCATATAAACTGACCCCCAAGTTCTCGTTGGGTTACCATGCTTACTTGGAATGGCAGGCCTGCAGACACAGGGTGCCTCCTATCACCTCTGAAGCCTAGACAGGCCCCCTTCAGAACAGGAAGTGAACCAGGCAGGCAGAATGTGGCCCGCGACTCCTGACATGGGATTTCCTTAATATCAGTCCTTTTCAGGTGTTGATGGCTTACTGGTCCTAATAAATCCCATGCTGGGTGAATCTTGTTTTAGTGGTTTGCATCGGTACATCTGGTCCTCTGCAACAGAGACATTTCCAGTTCCCAGGCGACAGCCCAGAGCAACAGAGCTTTACTGATCTGGTTTCAATAAATCTTGTTAACAAAAAAATCCAGGTGGCTTTTACAAGTCCCTCCTAGTATACGGATGATTCTTTACATGAAGGGTAGTGTGATTTGGGCATTAATGATTTGCAGTGTTCAGCACAAAACAGGTTAAAATTTCAATTTTGCAAAACATGTTTAGAATTATTATCATTATTTCAAATTTATGTTACACAGATTAGAGGTGATCGGAAGGTTACAAGTGGAGAGATTCTCACGATGAAGGTAAGGAAATTGGTCAAAAGGTTTTCAGGGAAGTCCCCTTTAGGGAAAGAACAACTGGGATGAGGGAAAGGAGAAAAGAAAGAAGGGGAAAAATATGTATATATGTATACACAGGATAGCTAACATAGTTGTACTACAGACTTTTATTGCTCTATTGAAAGGAACAGTTAATGTTTAATTGTTTGATCAGTCTTACATGTCTATATTTGTTTATCTGAATATCCAAATTGAAGATATCAATATGTAATACAACAACCATTGTTAATTTCCTATCACCTTGTCTGAGATTCTGTACTGCTTGTATTGTTTTTGTGTTATTTTCTAAGTGTATGTGTGTTTCAAATGTTTTCGTTCTTTTATCTTTAAAACAAAAAGATTAAAAATCAAGTTCTTATACACAACACCTCACTTAATATAACACAATAAAAATCTATTGAGTTTAATTAGAATGTAATTTAATTATACTAGAACATAATTAATTTCTAATATAATTAGAAAATGTGGGTGTCCATTGATTAAATGGTGTTCTCTGTACTGACCTTTGTAAGGATGAGAATATTTTTCTTCAACAACCCAACACTGTTATTTAAAAGTTTAAATTAACAAACTCAGCAATCAGCACGGAAAATGCTGCGGCACTTGGAAGGAACACAGCGCGTACAGTTAGCAGGCGATGTCTGCTAGTTGACTAATGGCTGGCAGTGGTTGTCCAACGTGAACTTTCTGTTTTTAGACTTTGGTGGCCCGTCTCTGCCTACTATTTGCTCCTATGCTGGCCTTGATTCATAGGAGGCTGTTTAATTGTTTTTAAACATAAGAGCCAACTCTGCCGATCTCCTGAATGTCGATAGACATGAGGAGTTTTTTCTTTTTAAATTTTTAACATATATACACACACACACACACACACCAGGAAATGAAACAAGATTACCCACGCTGTGCTACGGAAAGTAATACAAGAGAGAAAACATTATTTTTAGATAAGGCCATTTCCTAATCCGTTAGAGATATTGTATACATTGTCCACTCTACGTCAGGATACGAACACGCCTGGCTCGTGTTTCTTCCTACCACACACAGTGGCACTCATCTGTCTGCCCCTCAGTCATTTTCTTTCTGCAGTGAGAAACCCAGTGTTTCACTGTCAAGTTCAATAAGAACAAAACTGGGCATTTCCATTAACTGGAGAGAAGAGAGTTACGCAAGAACAAGCCTTCCGGGTCTGCCCGGAGAATGCAAGGGCAAAAGGGGAAAGACAAAAGCCCGTGAGTTGCATGGGAAAGCACTGCAGCTGTGGGTTGTCTTTGTATAGTTCATTTTCTATTGAAACTCATCAGCACTTTCAACTTCCCTTATTTGTAAAAATAGCCTTTTTTCTCTTTTGCTTCAAGGAAATTGTACCTACAATTTGTAGGTTTTTAATACTCATTTCACACAAGTGTAGCCTTTCAGGGGCTGTCTATAGTCACTGGAATTTGAATATATAAATAACAGCAACTTGTGCAAATTATATTTTTAGAAGTTATAGATTCAAGACCCTCCCAGGCTCTGGAAGAACTAATTTGCCTTTTATGTGAAACCATTCATGTAAAGGCTATTTAATCTTCTAGATTTCTGCATATCCTAGAATTCAGCCTGGAATCCTGGGTTTTGCATATAAAAGCCTTTCTCAAGGTTCTGTATTTCTAAGCTGACATCTTACTTCATGAATGGTGTTCAGGAAAATACACTGTATTTACAGGGTATACGTCCACGTAAGAGCCGTTCAGTTACGTATAACTAAGGCTGCAGAGTCATGCATTAATAACTAATAGCAAAACTCACTTTCTATAAAACTAAATTATAAGAATAAGTCATGTAGAAAATGTAATACTCAGTCAGCAAACCAGAGGTGATCAACCTCCACATTTTGGGGATCTTCCCAGATGTAGATGGAAAGAGATATACACAGGCAATTTAAAATTACTTCTCAGATCCCCAAACTCCAGACCACACTCAAGCACTATTTCTCCTGGACTTCTCAAGAGAGTTTTATGAACCACGGCTGCTCCAGAAAGTAACAGATCACCCATGTAACAGATCACCCCCACCTTTGCCATGAGGCTTCTGTGTGGTGAGATAAACTGACCTTCTGATGCGGTACCTGACCTTCTTCACCCTGACAGCTGCAGCTGCAAAATGCTGGATGGCACCTCTGACCAATGAGCTCAGCCACCGGGCAAGCTGGCATTCCACAAGCTCGTCATGGAGCCAGGAAGGACCACCAGGGCCGGGCCTGCACTTCCTCCTTGCTGGCAACCCGTGTGGCCACATTCCCATGATCTACGGGGCCAGATGAGGCTATTCCTACCCTGCCAGGCTGCTCTCAAAGATAAACAATGCTCATGGTGGAGTTCAGAGCTGGGAAATGCAAAACATCTTCAGAGTAAGTGGACCAGACACTCGGATCCTCTGTATTTGTGGTTTTTAAAGTTTTTCACAGGACACCAGAAGTTTTCGTAGGTAGATACGGACTTATCAAAACCCCACATTCTAATACGAAGTTAAGCTCATCAGAAAATAGCAAAGAAACAAACAAACAAATGTCATATTCTACAACCCCAAAGTGACTCATTCAGTAAATGGCATTCTTCACCTACCATATTCAAGGTCTCCAGCTAGGGCTCATAACAGTCATTATTTATTAATGACCTCTGGTTCCTCAGAGGACCAGAGGTTCCTAAATAAAGGAAACCTGGAGGTCTCCTGAGGCAAATGTTCAAATGGAGCTGAGGGACCGGGGCTCAGCAAACCATAAGCCACTGGCCAAATTCAGACCTCTGCTTGTGGCATGAACGGTGAACTAAGAATGGCTTATGCATTTTTAAGTGGAAGAAGGGACAGACAAGGAGAGGAGGAGGAAGGCAAAGAAGAGGATGAGAGGAGGAGGAAGATTATTTCATGATACATGGAAATTTATGCAACATTCAAATTTCTGTTGCCCTGAATAAAGTTTCCTTGTAACACAGCCACACCAAGCTGCTTACACATCTCCTGAGGCACCTCTGCGCTTAGGAAGAACTCACTGACTGCAACAGAGACCTTGCGGTCGCAAAACCTGCACACTGACTTGCTTTTAGATTTTAAAGCAATGTTTTCCTGTTGCTGAGCTATCGCACTGAGGACGCGGCCCTTAGGAACGGGGATGCTGTGTTTCAGATCAAACCCTTCAAAGCATGGCAAAACACACAAGTCCACCGATGGAGCGGAAGGACAATCTGTGGTTATTTTTGATATCAATCTCCTACACTTTTTCTGATGGGCCAGAGCCCTAAATCGGGATGCTTATTTGACTTTCCTGAGCATGCGTGCTCTCTTTCTGCCTGTAGATGTTAATCCTAGAGGACGAGCTGTCCTGGGCTTTCTTGGAGGAGTTTGATAAGGCAGAATCCCTGGAGTAGGAAGTGGCTTGGAGCCAACAGCCCTACTGGCGGTGGGGTGGAGCACAGTGCTCTGGGAAGACCCCACGGAGGGTCCTGCAGGTAACATCAGCCCCAGGGCCAGTGGGTGGGGCTTGGTGGAAGGAAGGATAGAATCAAGTACTCTCTTCACAGGGTTATGGGAGCGGTGCCCAGCTTCTGCTAGTCAAATCTGTGTGTTTTCTCCAACCCTACTGTCTTGAAAAGGAAGGTGAAATGGGATATTCACATTGTAATGCTTCCATGACATATCTGTCCCCATATTTGTTAGGGCTACTACGACCTTAACAACCATGGTTACCATGGTTACAACACAGAGGTGACCCCAGGAACCACAGAGACCCCGGCCAAGTCATCAACCTTGGCACAGCAGTCACATGTGACTCTGGACTGTGGCCGGCCCAGGGTAACCTGTAGGATGTCTGCTTGCTATTGAATGTCCTTGTTATTGCTGTATTTTCTTCCTCATCTATGCTGCAGTAGACAAGCTGAGGGTAGAACTCATCACTAACATGGAATATTACAGGTAAAAAGCAACAGAGTGCATTGTTAAACCAAACAAAAACAAAAACAGAAACAAATCCTTTTGTTAAACTCACCTAGAAAAGTCTCCCTTTGCCTCCTGTAGAGGGAAAAAATTCAGTATCAGTGAAACACATTCATCCAGTGTTAGACTAAAATACAGTGCATAACCAAGATAACTCCTTGGAATGAATGGGGTGAGTTCACCTCCCTACTGCTAGCACCCTGTTACAGCAGGAGTAAGATGAAGAGGGAGCAAATAATATACTTGGTACCCCAAAGGAGGCACAAAGCTCAACTTTAGAGACTAAAATCCAAAGAAGATGATTTACAATGACAAAATGCAAGTGGTCACCTCTAGACCCTGGTCTAATCTGTTCAAGTTTAAATTTTCTGAATCTGAATGTGTATCTGGATAAAACTATTTCTTATGTCACTTTTTGTTTTGCATTGTGGGCTAATTTTCAGTTACACAAAAGACTGTAGAGGAAGGGGCCACTAAAATTTCAGTGAATCTAGTATAATACACGATCATAGCAGTATTTAATAAATAACTGTTGAAGGAACAAGTTAAGGATATCACTTCAACTTAACTTGCTATTGTTACAGCTAATATAAGACCCACCCCCCAACTTAAGGGTTATTTTCCTTGTCTTTCTCAGGGGCATGGGGTGATTCTTTGGTTCATTCTCTTCACTTGGCTGTGCCCAAGGCAGAAGGGGGCACCACATTCAAAGAGAGTGAGGTCACTGAATGACCTCCATGTCCCCTAGACTCAGGTTAAACACACAACTTTCCTTTATAGTTATATGCTGTCTTAAAATGTTGACATAGTAGAATACCCTATTTACTGCCATTGTATCAGTATTCTTAATAGCTCTGTCCACCTTGTGGCTAGAAAAAGTGAAGCAGACAAATAATAGTGGATGCGGCCTCTGGCTTTGCATACTGTCTTATTTCCTCTTTCCTCATCAGAGCCACTTACCTGTAAAATATAGGAAGCCAGTTCAAACACCACTTCACTATCAACATCAATAAGCTCCTGAAAAGGAAAAAGCAGTGAGGTGGTGAGTTTCACATTTAACAACAAATTCTTTACAACAGCTCCCTAAAAAGAGTCTTGTCTTCTTTGCTGGGGTTTCTCAGACAGAATCCAAATATGCACAGCACATATTTGGTCTCTGAGACCACTGCTCTGAATGACGTGGTCTCTAACACTGCCTGGTGCCCTTTCACAGCTCTTAGACAAAAGGGACCAGGAGTCCTGGGCCCACATTGGTGTCTCCATCTTTAACTCCCGAAGAGACAGTCAGGAGTGGGCCATCTCCGGCTTTTCCCTCACGTGTTCATCTTCTTAACCACTGGAGTATGGTTGCTTGATCACTAACTGCATTTTCTTTGTAAATTCGACTTTAGAACTAACAGCAAGGTTGTATTGAAAGAAAGGGCTTATGACCCTTTACGTTAAAATTAAGTTAAATTAAAAATACAGTTCTTCAGTTGCACCAGGCACATTTCTTTCATGTGCTCATAGTTCTGCACGGTGCAGCTAGGAGCTATCATGCTGTCAGCACGAACATGAAACACTTCTACCACGGTAAACGGCTCTACCGGTCAGTGCTGTATGAAGTCTAGTTCAAAAACGTTTTTACCCTACTCTTTCTTCCCCTAGATACTTAATTATGGTCTAGAAACATGATCTTAAAAAATATAAATTCATCCTTGGTTTTTAAAAAATGTTTATTTTTCAAAATGAATACATAGGTGTATGCTGGATAAATATGTTTCAGGGAGCTATGGTTTATGCACACCCATGTCTATAGCAATACGACTCCCAACAGCTAAAGAGATGATGGCCTCTATGTCCACCACAGATGAGTGGATAAAGAAAGTGTGGTATTTATACACAATGAGTGCTACTCAGTCATAAAGAAAGATACATTTGAGTCATGTGTAGGAAAACAGATGCACTTTGAGACCATAATGCTAAATGAAACAAATCAGACACAGAAGGTTTCTCTGATAAGAGAAACCCAAAGTATACATGATTTAAAGAGCAAAATAAGAGATAGATGATAAGAAACAGGGAGGTATACTTTTAGCAGATGGGAAGAGATCTAGGGATGGAAGGAGGTGGAAGGGTGGGAAGGGAAGGGAAAGTAAAAAGAATTAAGACGTGGTATGAATATGCACCAGCTCCCCAAAGCAAGGGTATTCATTATGTACCACAAACATGTACCATACTAATAAAAAAAACCCAGCTATTTTGGTCAGCAGTGGACTGCACACATCACAGTGGTCCCATACGATTATGGCCACCAGGCGATGTCACAGACCTGAGTTGTGCAAAGATACTTGACTGTGTTTGCACAGTGATAAGATCACCTAAGACACACTTATAAGAATATACCCCTGCTGTTAACTGACACGAGTGTAGTTCTCATCTCTTTAAGAAACAATTTTATTGAGGTATAGTTGAAAAACAAAAACAGAATGTGTTTTACATTCCATTGGTTGAGTTTGGACCCACGCACAGACCCATGATTCCCTTACCACAATCAAGATAATAAACACTCACGACTCTAAAAATGTCCTTGGATGTATATGCACTTGTGTTAAACACACTTAACACGATCGACCCTCTCGTTAAATTTTACCTGTACAATACTGTGTTGCTGTATACATCTCATGTGCAGGACACAGACAGGAAGCACTAACAAGTTAGCTCACATGATGTGTCTATTTTCAAGGTAAAGTAGAGATGTCCATCTTGATTTTTCTTTCCTTGCTATGGCTGGACGATCCTATCCTAAGACTGGACAGCAGAGTTGGAGCCAGGAGAGGTTTAGCAACCAGCCAGCCCAGCCCAGTGCTTGTATTAAGAACAGAAACCCAAATACACAAAGGCACTTGAACAGTCGCAGGGCCTTAACGCCCGCTATGAGCTGAAAGCAAACACCCCACTTTTCACAGCGCAAGGCTCCCTAAGGACCTGCATTCCTCCAAAGAGTAGGCACTCGGGCTCAGCCAGCAAGTCCCCAAACAGCATCTATAGCTGAAATTAGCCTAAGAGTTACTTTTCATTTGAATTTTAAGCCAAACTCTGATTCATGACTTTTTCTTATATTTTGGGGAAATACAGAATTAGGCTCTGTAATACGAAACAGTGCAGTCAAGCATCCTCTGTTTTTTGAAGAAAGGATATCTTCAGGCTCTTTGAGGCCTAAGAATTTCAAAGGTGGATAATAATCTCTGCTACGGAACCCCCTCAGAAGTATGGCTAAGAGAACTAACCACTATATAGAAAAAAGACACTAATTCTTTATGTTTAGCCTGCTGAAAGAGTCTGATGGCCTCGGTAATTGATACCGACTGTCAGCGCAGGCCTGGGGAAGAATGTTTGGAATTGCAGTCCTGGGATTACCAGGTCCCACCAGAGAGTAAATCATTTAACAGTGTACAAATGATTTAACAGACACGCTGTCCAACATTCCCATAATAGATCATTTCTCCTCTCACCACATCCATTTCCGTTCCCACCAATCACTTGCCTGATGTGCTTGAGGCCCTGGCTAGCGTACTGGGATGTGTGCTTTTCTGTCAAACATTTACACCCCATCGGGCAGGTGGTCACAGGCGGGCTAATGCTTAACGTCCACTGGGAGCTTTATCTGATGTGCTACTCAGAACCAACCATCAGAAAATGACCCTGGTAAGTGTGAGCACAGCCTCTAAGTCCACCACTGACTCCATCTGCTGAATGAAAATGTCTGTGGGGAGGGAGGTGGGGGGAGGAGGAAGGTCGTTTATTTTACACAGCTCACTATGCGGCCCAGGAGGTTCTGTTGCTGAATATTAACCACACGGTACCACTATCTACGGTAAAGAGTCCAACAACATACCATGAAATGCCTAAGCTGGTGTAGGCAAGCTCTCTCTCACCACAGTACCTTTCACTGGATGAGCTGTCACCTCCTCGGACCCTGGCCACCTCCCAGGGATGACAGAGTCAAGATGTGCCCAGTAAGAATGAGAATAAAGTCCCACAGATGCCGTGCACACTTACAGACCTGACGGGTAAGACGGCTGCGCTACTGCTTCTTACAGTCCCTACTTAGTACTCACTGAGCGCAAGGATCAGCTCGGCAGACGTCCGCAGAGGAGCTGACATGGAGATCCAAGACAGTGTATGTGAGAAGCACCCCAAGAATGGCAGGAAGACTCAGGCTCCTAATTGTTAAGACAAGACTTTCTTATTCTGGCATCTCCCGACACCCTGGTGTCCCTTGTTCCTCGTACTTTCCCCCTTTTACACCTCCCTTTCTCAGGTGACTTTTTTCTTTAAGATTCCACCGTGACAGAAGAGAACCCTGGAGTCGCCGGCCACTCCCAAATTTCCCATTGTGCTTGAACACCTGGAAGCTGGCTTCCCCGCAGAGGAGTTGCGAGAGGTTTCCAGGGATCTTCCTCTCGAAAACACGCTGCCCTGTACCATTCAAAAGACAACTCTGCCTTTTTTTCCTCAGCTGACTTCCCTGGTAAGCCAGAGGTGGTTTCTTTCACGTGTTTCTGCTCAAGAAGCGAAAATAAACTGAACAAGGCAACAAAAAGTGGGCGCAAAATCTGTATACTTTCTGGCAACCCTGGGCTTTCCCTTGACAGAGGACAAAATGAGGAAGTGGGTGGGGAGGAGGGGACCCAGGGGGATCTCCGGTCAGCCACTTCCACCTGGCCACGTGCAGCGGCTGGCAGCTTCCTCCAGATTGCGCAGTCCACAGCACCGTGCAGAGGCCCCAGTGCTCTCAGAGTGGACTAAGAAGGGCCTCTGCTGTCATTTTCTTTTTTTTTTTTGTTTTTGTTTTTGTTTTGTTTTTTTCCGGTACCAGGAATCGAACTCACGACATTGCGCTTGCCAGGCAGGCGCTGTGCCGCTAAGCTAAATCCCCAGCCCCTGCTGTCATTTTCTGAGGGAGGCCCTTGCCTAGGAGCCATGGGCCATGGTGAGTCATGGGCCTGGGATAACATCTCAGGATGTGCTGTTTGCTTTATCAGTGAAAAACAGTAAGGAACGAGAAGATGTGGACATCGCAGGCGTGTCTCGGTGGGGTGCGGAGAAGGCCCACCTCCTCTTGCTTAGCCTGCTTCATCCAGGGTAGACAGCAGCTAGAGGAAGAGGGCCAAGGTCATTGATCAGTGGCTCAGGGGCTCACATTATTCCCAGCAAGATTTCTGCAGTGCTCGGAACAAACAGTCCTTGGAGAGGCCCACACGGCAGGTGCTACAGCTGCTCTCCAACCACCCCGAGTCCTTCCTGATCCCCTCTGGGAAGGGTTCGTGTGGCCTTTACACTCCACTGAGAATCCCACGGAAGGCTTTCCTCCATGCTCAGGAGTTATGGAAAGCCCGCCTTTCATGTAAGATGATGGGATGATGATAATAGAAAATACGACTTTCCACCACAGGGAGTGGAGAAGACGTCAGCGAGGAGGATGCACCGTGCAGGGCCGGCCCAGGGCTTTCCTACCGAATCCTGACCGCGTCACCACCTGCACCTTCACCCACAGAATAACTAAAATAGCAGTGTCTTGTGGTCTTCCTGAAGACCATTTCCACTCCTGAAAGCTCTAGGTTGTACCCCCAAGCTCCTAGCAGCTCAGGGACACCCAATAAATCACTGGGTCACCTTAGTCGGGGCATTGGTGATGCATGTCTGTAATCCCAGCACTCCGGGAAGCTGAGGCAGGTGGAGCACAAGTGTGAGCTCAGCCTGGACAACTTGGCGACTCTGCGAGATCCTGTCTCAAAATATAAAATACAAAGTGGTAGGGATGTGACTCCATGCAGCGTCCTTTGTTCAATCTCCAGTGGCGGAGAAAAAAAATCACTGGACCTTCTCAAGTTTCATTTGCCTTAGCAATGAATGGGAAAAACAGCTTCTTTCCCAATTATTGTATTGAGTTTAGTGAGACATAAATGGAGAGGGGATTCTGAAATTGTAAAACACACTAGAAATGTTGTCCCCATGATATTTATTTCTGCTCA